GAGGAGGGACCAGCTCTGCATCCTGAGCTCAGCCTCCCAGGCTGCACATGACAGCCCATCCCTGCCCTGTGCCCTCCCTGCATCCTTATTAACCCAGGACCCTGAGGGACACTCCCAGCACCCGCTCTGCCCCTGCTGGACTACAGGGTCTCCTCAGGGTGGGTCACGGCAGAGCATGGGTGGTCTTGGCCCTCAGGACAGGCCCAGCTCCTGGCTAGGGCGGGCCTAACCTTGTCCTGGCCATTCTGTGGTAGGGAGGGTCTTGCTGGGGGTTGACAGTCCCCTTGCCCTGAGCCTGCACAGCTGGGATCCCCTTGAGAAGGGGCTGAGGAGGAGATGGGCTTACCGAGGGGATGCTGTGTTCTGAGGGAGCAGGTCCTGGGGACAGAAACAGGAGTTAGCTCCAGGGTGGGGAGAGCCTGGGTCCCTCCTCCAGGAGGTCACGGGGTTCTCAGCTCCCAGAGAATGGGGAGAGGCGTCTCCTGGGAAAGACCTTCCCACCACCATAGGGGCCTCGTGAGCAAGTGAGGTGTGACCCGTGACCCAGAGGCCACAGGTTGGGGCTGACCCAGCCAGTCAGGGTCCCCTGTGCTGATGTTCATGAGACTCTTCCTTGGGGTCCATGGAAGGGTCAGAGCCCCCAGGGGGTGACTGGCAGGAGTGGACCCTGCGGGGCAGGCCTTGGGGCTCCAGCCACACCCGGGGGAAGGGCACTCACCGCTGGTGGAGTTGGGGGGCTGCTGCTCCCTGAGGTCACGCTGGCCACCCGCCCTAGGAAAGGTCAGGCTTATTTGTGAGGGTGCAGGGTTAAATTCAGAACTTTAGAGTTAGAACAGGGGACAGGGAGGAGACCTCATTTCCAGAGAGGGGTGTGGAGATTTCATTTCCCCATCAGTTCTGTGGTGGGGGCAGGAGAGGGAGCTGAGTTAAGGCCTTAGGAGCCACATGTGTCCTGGCCCAGAGGGAAGGACCCTGAGGCAGATGTGGGCCAGAGGAGGGCTGCACTGAGGGAGGGTCCAGGCCCTGCAGGGAAAGCCCGGCCAGCCGCGTCGCAGGACACTGGGGAAGACACAGGACTCTTAGATCCTCCCTGAAATCGCTGTCCCTGCTGTGGCCAGACTCTTGGCTCAGGCCAAAATACACCGACATGTGACCAAGCTTTGGCGCCTCTCTCCACCCACCTGGGCAAGAGACATGAGGACTCTGTAGGACATGGCGCCATATCTCTGCAGCCACCAGGCGCTGCCGTCAGCATCTGGGGCCGCTGGCCCCCAGTCTGTCCAGGCTCTCCCTCTCTCCACTGTGGGACCCTGGCCAGGACCCCCTCAGCCCCTGAGCCTGTAAATCGCCCCCCCTGTGGGCGGATTGCAATGGACGGCAGGGGGCGCCGAGACTGAGAACTTACCCAGGCAGCTACAGGGAGCTGTGAGGGAACCAGGACACACTTAGGGCCTGTCCTCTACTGTGCCTCACTCCCAGAGGACCACACTGCTGAGGACGCAGCCCAGGGCCGGCAGCTGGCGAGGGAGGGGCCGGATGGAACGAGAGGGAAGGACCCCCGGGGTTCGGGAGGCCTGGGAGAGCCGGGCCCAGAACACAGGACGGGGTCTCCATCCTCCTGCCTGGCTCAGCTGGGGACAGGACGAGGAAGAGGGAAGCCCTGGTACCTTCCAGTCCTTCTGAGGAACAGGACACACCCCAGGGCGGCCACCAGAGCCACAAAGGCCAGGACCCCAGTCACGATGCCAGCGATGGCCCCCACGGGGACGCCCGGGGCGTTTTCTTTTGCTGAAAGGAGAAGAAACGGGATGAGCCCCAAGTCTGCTCCTGGGGAGACCACAAGGGGCCTTGAGGGAAGGAATGTGGTTAGGGAGGAAGGAAATGCCACCATGTCCCTGTGCCCCTTGTGTTGTCACCATAACCGACTCCCTTGCTCTCCGTGGTGGCATCATCTTCAGTCTGTCAGGTGACACTGTGGACTTGCTCTGACTCTACCTTCTCCACACGCAGCCTGGACCTCCCCTGCCCTGGTGCCCTTAATGCCACTTTCCTGTCATGTCCCGCCTCTCCCTGTTTCTTCTTTTCCATCGTGTGACAGTGTTTGCGGCAGCCCCTTCCCAGCCAGGTCAGCAGTGGTTCGTGGTCATGAGGGTCATTGGCTGTTTGCAGGAGCCTTCTATGTGCCAGGCACAGGGGGAAACAACTTCCCGACCCCCCCCTCTGATCCTGCCCTCACCGTAGCGAGGGGGTGTCACCCCTATTCTGCAGATTTAGAATCTGAGACTTAAAGTGCTTCAGTAAGTCAATGAAGGTCACAGAACTAGTGACAACAAACAGCAAGCTGCCTCACTTAGCAGCTATTAAAACTGTTAATAAAACTAAGAGTGTCACTTGGTGGCATTGACTGAGCACTGACTGGGTATGACCCTGTGCTAAGGGCTTTAATTTCATTAATCTCCTAATAACCGCCCTCACAGTGACTTTGAGATCCAGGTGTTCTAATTTTACAGATAAGGAAACTGAGGCTCAGGAGGTGGAGCGTCTTGCTCAAGGTGGAACACCTGCGCAATGAGAACCTGGTACCGGCTGGGTTAGTCTAATGCCTGGACTGTCCCGCTGCTCCACAGGCTCTGAAGGAGTCCCCGCTCCTCCTGGCTCAGGTCACCTTGCCTGCCCCAGCAGTGACATACACAAGCCAGTGGGTGGAGGGACCCAGGGTCACTCCCATTTCATGGCCAGCCTGAGGGGTCACTTATGCTGGAGCTGACTGGCGTGGAGACCTCACATCTCTACTCCCAGCAGCCTCCCTCCCGACAGGGTCTGTGCCTAGCACACTGTGGTCCCGGGACAGCTGCCTCCTCTGTGACCTGCAGACTCTGGCCACCGGGGAACCACGGGATGGACCCAGGAGCCCTGGGCCTGAGCTCTTGTGAGGATCCCAGGGGCCCCCTCAGGCCAGGCCCTGACCGGGTCCTACAGGGTCCTTGTCAGGGCTATGTCCATGGGGAGGGCACAGGGGCTGGTCTGAGACTGTCCCCTGCTCAGTTACCCATCACACTGGTCCTTCCCCTGCATGGAATGTCTGCAGGTCTGGACACAGGAAAGGATTCTGATCTTCTGCCGTTTGCCTCCCCTGTGTGTGTCCTTACTAAGTACCCAAACCCCACCATGGGACATGACGCAAAGTGGGAGGCATGACAACCCTGTGTGAGTGAAGTAGAACCGACCCCACAACACCCAGAAGTCGCAGGGAATCACTCACGGTACACGCGGAGCTGTCCAGTTACTGCTTCATTCTCAAGATCTGCCTTTACAACCTGTAGGGTGTAGTACCCTGTGTCATTCAGGGTGGCGTGCTGGAATAGCAGGGATCCGTTGGGGTAAATTGTCTCTCGACCACTGTATGCAGGCCCCGTGTTGTTTACTTGAGTGTCTGTTACATACGATACAATTTTATATGTGCTGTCCACCCTGTCCCCTTTGTACCAGGCATAGCCATAAGGGTCCTGTGGCAGATTGTGGACGAGTAGAAGAACGTGCTTCCCCTCCACAGCATTGAGCGGCATGGATTCCACAGAGAGTTGGGCAGTGGCGGGCGGGTTCCAGAAGGTTAAAAGTGAGACTAGGAGGGAGGAGAGAGAATCAATCCATATTGGGACCTTGGAATTGCGATAGAAAGATAGGCCCTGGGTCTGAAGGTGTGTGTGTGTGTGTGTGTGTGTGTGTGTGTGTGTGTGTGTGTGAGTGTGAGTGTGTGCTCTGGGTCAAGGTCAGCAGTGTGACCACCATCACTCCAGCGCCTCTGGACTGGCCATGCCCCTGCTTGGAATCCTCTTCCCAGGTGTCTGCACGGCTCACCCCCCACTGCCCTCAGATCCCTGCTCACACTCAGGGGCGTCCTTGGGAGGGACCTTCCCTGGACACCTCCTCTAGGGACCCTGGGTCTTCCCTTCCTGACTTTCCCTGCCTGTTTCCTCTGTGGCTCTTGTCCACAGCTGGCCTCACATTCGAGATCTGTCTGCTTGTCTGTCTTCCTCCCACTAGGACGTGAGCTCTGTGAGGGCAGGGACGTGTCTGACCTTTGTTGTGCCCCAGAGCCTGGGACAGGCTGCGGACACCTGTGGGTGAGTGAACGAGTGTTTTCAGGGCCTGGCATGTCCTGCTGTTTATTTTACAATGAACATAAAGATAGTATCTGACACTGGTGGGTAAGGGCCATGTTTAGTGCCCCTCGTTGTTTATTTCAAGCGTTACCCTGATATAGTTATTACCATTTTCAAAATGTAGTGACCATTGAGGATGAACCTGGAGAACACAGAGCAATTGAGACTGTCCTGTCCCTTTCCAGTTTCAGTTCAATGTGACTTTCCTGTTGTCACCGCCTCCTTCCCTTTGGTGTCCCCCTACCTCTTCAGGCTCCAGCAGAAGTCCTCTGTCCCTCTCAGAGCCCCGTCCTCCCCTGAGACCTCTGCCCAGTGTCTGTGCTCCCTCTTCCTGCCCACCCCAGGGCATCACCCCTCTTACCTGTGAGCAGGAGCCCCTGCCAGGGGACTGGCCCTCTGCAGGGAGGGGCTGAGGGGGGCTCCATGGTCCCTGCTGCCTGCTCTGTCCTCTGTGCAGAAGAGCTTCAGCTCCAGGAACGCTCCGAGCACGGCTGCTCCAACGAGTCAGCTTTGCTGTCCTTCCTCCCTCTGTGCTGCGCCTCCCCCTGGGGCAGGAGCTCTTCCCAGGGTCATGGGCTGGGGCTGGGTCTGTGCCCAGGACACCTCCCTGTCCCCTCCCCTCTCAGTCCTGCTTCCTTGTTCCTCCTTCCCTTTTTCTTCTGTCCACATCTCAGGGCCCTGAAAACTCCTGAGGCCTTTGCCTTTTTCAGCAAGGATTCTGTCACCCCAACCTATGCACACACACACACACACACACACACACACACACACAGAGACACACACAGAGACACACACACACACAAAGTATCACACACACACACACATAGTCACACACACACACGTATAACACACACACACACAAAGGCAGACACACACACAAACACAGATATAGACACACACACATATGCATCCTGTTAGTTGGGTGAGCACAGCCCTGCGCCCTCAGCGTCCTGTGGTCCCCACGGCTCCGCGTCGGGGTGCACCGGGAGCCCCACCCCTGCTGCCCTCTCCCGTCCCCACCTGGTTCCTCAGAGCAGGAGCAGGGTGGGGCCTCCACCAGGAAGCCTGTCACAGGGATTGCACCCCGCCATGCATCGGGCAAGCTGAGTGACGATTGGTGACAGGGACCCTCCCTCTCTCATTGGGTTTAGCCTGGTCACAGCTTCCAGGACCCCAGAGTCCCAGAGGGAACTGTCCCTCCTGGAGGTGTGCAGTGTCAGGCTCCCCTGTGTCCTGGGTGGAGGGACCTGTGCTCTTGGTTAGTCGGGGACAGGGAGGGCAGAGCAGGGGCTCAGGCTGGAGAGACCCGTGCTGACTCCTGATTGCCTCTGCGGCCAGGATGGGCTCAGCCTCCCGGTGCTCACTCACCTAGGGTTGAACCTCACACTGATACTCCCCGGCATCCCCCCTCTCCACAGGGTTTATGCTGAGACTGATGTTGTCCTGGGACAGCTGCATCCTCTCTGTCACCTGCAGACTTTGGTGGTTGAAAATCCACCGGATGGAGATTCCAGTGTCACTTGTGAGGCAGGTCAGGACCACAGAGTCCTTGTCCTCCGTGACTGTGCTGCTGCTGGCGTGGATGGAGGGCTGTGCCACTGGCTGTGGCTCTGTGGACAAGCAGAGGACTGAGAGTGGCCTGGGCCTGGGGCCATGCCCCTTCCTCAGAGGTCTCAGCCAGCTGTCAGGCCCCACAGGGAGCTGTGCAAAGGTGACCACCCAGGGGACACTGTGACCCTCTGTAGAAGGTCAAGTGTGTTTGTTCAGGAGATGATCTGTAAGGAGAGGGCGGCACCTCCCCTCTGACCCCAGGATGACCCCTGACTTCTCCCCTGGACATCTCTGTGGCATCCGCTCCGGGACCCTTTCTCTGCGCACATGTCCTGCAGCCTCATCGTCAGGTGCGATGTTTCTCCCATCGACTGTGTGACCTTTTCCTAGAGCTCCTGGGATCAGGCCCCTTCCTAGTGCTGTCGCTCTACACACAAAAGAGGTGCTTTCTTCCACTAAATCATTTATTAGGAATGAAGAAGGCCCAGCCAGTCTCCATGACCTTGTATCTGAACAAGTTGCAACCTCAAGGATTTCCCAACGTGAAGAGGACTTTCACTTCCTGGTCTGTGGCCGGGTGTTAATGAAAGGCTGAGACTTACATTCTCTGCAGAGAGAAACGTTTGGCTTTGCCACTTTCCTCTAACCCCATGCAGAGACTCCACGGGTGGATCTTTCTATTTATCCATGGGGGCGTCACTGGCTGTGACAATGGGATGCCCCACACGTTAGCCAGGGCCATCCCGCCCCAGGGCCGCGGTGCGGGACACAGCCTCCCCGTTAGGCGTGGGACTCACCTTTGACATTGCAGCTCTCCCTCGATTCTATGGGCCCGATGTCCCGGGTCCCGTTGAGCAGGTTGCAGCCTGGTTGGGACATGCATCCCTGCACTTGCAGTCTGGTGAAGATTTTCCCTGAGGAAGGCGAGGGGAGAGGCAGCGAGGCTGCTGCAGGGACCAGCCGACCCTCAGAGGGGGCCGCTGCCCCAGGAAGCCAGGTCCACCTCCCTCCGGGCCCCTTCCATGCCTCAGCTCCCAGGAGACTCAGATCTGAGTCCCCAGACCTCCCCATTCAGCCCCCGCAGGGACCCCAAGGTCCCCGGCTCACCTCCCACCAGCCGGAGGACTCCACTGTAGCAGTGTGTGCTCCCCTCGGGACAGGCCTCTGTCACATCCCCCGCACAGCTGTCTGTAGAAAGGCAGGCTGGGCACCGCAAGGGCCCTGGCGCTGGGGAGGTGACAGACAGAGTGAGGGGACACAGGGAGGGCTCTGGATTTGGACCAGATGCCTTCTCTCTGCCCCGCATTTGCTGGCCCCAATCTCCCCAGTGTCCTTCCTCGGGCCCCTCTGCCACAGCCCAGGTGTGCGGAATTAGGGGTGTGAGGCCGGTGAAAGAGGAAGTGAGGGGGGATATGAGGTCTGGGGGGAGCCGGGCACAGTGGCTCACGCCTGTAATCCAGCACTCTGAGAGGATCACTTGAGCCCAGGAGTTTGAGACCAGCCTGGGTAACATAGCCAGACCCCATCCCTAAAATATTTTTTAAAAATGAGGTGGGCATGGTGGCACACACCTGTAGCTACCAGCTACTTAGGAGGCTGAGACAGAAGGATCCCTTGAGCCCAGGAGTTGGAGGCTGCAGTGAGCTATGATGGCACCACTGCACGCCAGCCCGGGTGAGGGAGCCAGACCGGGCCTCTAACAACAACAAAAATCTGGGCAGAGGCTCCTGGGCTGAGTAGGGAAGGGGGTGCTGGGGTGCAGGGGGCGGGGCTGCTGAGGCCGCACACAGACAGCCCTGGTCAAGTCTGAACGGGAAGTCTGGCCTTCCGAGGCTGACATGGACACAGACTCCTCGGTCAGGGCAGGGAGGGGTCCCCTGGAAGAGCCCCTGACTTCACCTGCAAGTGCTACTAAACAGTAAGGAACACAAGACGCGCGTGTTCAAAACTATTCCAGAGAAGAGAAGCGCAACACATCGCCCCAAACTGTATTTACAGCGGCCGACATGGACAGTGGGAAGGTAGGGGCCATGTTACTCAGGAACAGGAAATGCAAACGCCCTACGGGAGACACTGGCGAAGCTAATGCGACAGTACAGAAGAAAGGAGAACGCACGCGATGAGCAGGCGAGCACGGTGGCCAGAGTGTGCGGCTGGTGGTTTCACGTGAGACATCAATCCAGGCTGCTGCCCCGGGACTGTTAGCAGCGGCTGGGCAGGGAGCCCTGGGCGGGCAGGGCACAGGGCACAGGGCGGAGGCAGGGATGGGGAGTGAGTGCAGAAGAGATGGGGAAGCAGGGGGCCAGGGGTTCAGGGCGCCGGCAGGGAGGGCTGCAGCGAGTGCGCCACGCCCTCTGCGGCCCCTCCCTGCCTGCTCCTCTGGGCCCTCCTCCTGTGGCACCTGTCTGGAGGGGCGGGGCCCAGACCGGAGCGCTGTTGGAGAGGTCGTTGCAGAGGTCCGCCTCGCGGCACACGTGGGTGTAGGAGACCACGGAGAGGCCGGGGCCTGTCCTGTGCAGGGTGACGCGGGCCTCGTGGTCCTCCCCCTTAGTGCAGCCCTTGCTGATCACCACCATCGCCTGTGGTCCTGGCCGAGAGAGGGAGGCAGGCGGGCGGGATCAGGACTCCAGGGGCTCAGAGGAAGGAGCTGCATCGGGGCTTGGGGTGAGAGGCTGGAGGGGAGGGGCTGCACCTGCTGAGGAGGGGGCTCCCGCGACCCTGCAGGGGAAGGGGCGGGCTGAGCGCCAGGGGCAGGGCCCTCCTCACCATTCTCAATGATCATCAGCGTGTCTTGGCAGCCCTCGCCGCTGCCACATTGTTCCTGTTCAGCTGTCCATTGGACGGGCAGGGCCGATACGTTGAACACGGAATTATGTCTCAGCAGCTGGCAGAGCAGGGCCTGCACCCCTGGGGGGGGGAGCAAATCCATTTCAGCAGAGGCCCCGCCGCTCCTGCAGGCAAGTCCTCTCCAGGGCGAGGTCCTCACTCACCGGGCAGCGTGAGGGTGACCCCCAGGAGGGCCAGCAGGAGGGCAGAGCTCATGACCGGTGTGTAGCAGAAAGTTCCCTACTGCTCTTCCAACCAGGAAACAAGCCCTTTATACGTCCCCTGACCCAGCAGCCAGGAAAGGGGTGGGGAGGGCAAGGCCTTGCTAAACCGAGGCCTGGGCCGAACCCTCAGTCTCAAATGCTTGAAGGGCCTGGTACCAGGGCCCCTCCTCCCTCAGACCTGGGGGTCCAGGCCCAGCTCCCCGCACAATTGGAAACTGAGGCAGCCTGACTCCAGGGCCCCCTGGTCTGGATGCCTGGGCCTCTGTGCCAGCTTTGAAGTCCCCACCCCCACCCAGTGTCACAGCATTTGGGAAGGCAGTTTCCTCACCCCTCCTGGCCCCACGGCCACTTCTGGCTTCAGGTGGGGAAGTGGCCCAACTGCCTGTGTGGACACTGTGCCGGGGGCACTGGCCGGTCCCCACAGTCTTCCTGCCCCAGCCTGCACTGCCTGGCTACTCCTCCCTCTTGGTTCTCTTTCCTTCCTATGTGGCTTTCCTTTCCATTTCCCCTTTCATGACTTTGGTTCAGGCTTCCTCTTCTGTCCTGTCCCCTCTCGGCACAGCATGGGCCCTGAGCCCCCACTTCCTTGTCCCCCAGGAAAGATTAAGGTGTGGCCTGGGGAGAGGTGGGAGTGGAGACAGATGTGGGCTGAGGAATGAAGATGTGTCCCGACAGAGCAACGTTTCTTTGCTGGAAACAGGTGGGGCCCGTGGGGACTGGAAAGCCAGCTCTTCAGAAAAACATCAGCAAACCCTGCCTTGTCATGCTGGCCTATTTCTGTGGTGTAAATATTCCCAACGTGTCTGATTTTAAGCTATCGACAGTTTAATACCCAGCTGGGAAAATTCCTAGCTATTCAACCTCAGCTTTCACAGGCCCGTACAAACCAGCTCCAGCACACTGGGTAGGTAGGAGGGAGACAGGAGGGAATGAGGGGTGTCTGCCAGTGACTGCAGAGGGAAGAGGGGGGTGTGTGTGACAGAGAGAGGACAGGCCGAAGACGGAGGGTGAGAGCACGTATTGTATCGTGGAGAAAGAGAAATGAATTTGTAACTTGCAACTATATGTTTATTTTTGACATCTCTATACATTCCATCTTTATTTGTGTTTGCAAGTTTCTTGTTTTGCTACATGGGTGGGGACATGTTTGTCTGATCTCCTACTGTGTCTACACCCCCTACATGGCATATAGTAGAGGGTGCTTGATAAATGCTTGTTGACTGAATAAATGAATGAATAGAAAGGGAAAGATGGCAACAGAGCCATCCCTGCAGTTAATTCAGGTCATGCACTGTGGCAATCTTGGCCCTTCCCCAGCGATTCACATTGTTGCTCTGGGAGTGGCTCCCTCTTGCATTGTGTATGCCCTGAAACAGTGTCCCTACCTCTGCTAGGTGTCCACACACAGCTCTGGCCATCTGGACATCGTGAGGAGGACTCTAGCCCTGGGTCAGGGACAATGCAAGAGAGTCAGCTGAGCTGGAAGAGCTGATCGATGAGCCAGAGCTGGGTCCCTGCAGTTCACAGGTCCAGCCCGCACTGGACGTGATCCGGGCACCCTTGAGACACAGCTCCATCCTGGGGCCTCCTCCCTGCTGACACAGCGGCGTCCCTCAGGATCAAGCTGTCCAGACAGTGCAGCACCATGGACAGCGCCAATCTCATCTCCACCCTTCCCCCCTCACAGGGATCAAGGCTCAGAACACGTGGCCATGGCAGAGCCCAGTGAGGCCAGAGATTGAGAAGGGGCGGCGACCACAGGGGCAGCTGCCTGGAGCAGGAGCAGGGGGGCACTGACCTAGGCGGCAGCAGACGCCCAGGGAGAAGCTGGTGCAGGAAGGAAAACCCAGGCATGGGCGGGAGAGGAGAGGAGGACACAGGCTCTGTGGGGTACAGCGCAGTGTGGACACTGAGTGTGAGCCATCCCAGGAGGTGAGGCCAGGCCCAGGTGAACAGGAGAGGAATGAATTCTACCTCCACCGACCAGGACATGACTTGTGTGGTGCTGTGTCCCCAGAGTCTGGGTCCCCTGTTCTGGACCCTGGGAGGAGAAGCGAAGTTGACTTGTCCCTCCTCCCCACTCTGCTCCCCTGACACCGACCTTCATCTCCCATCCCTCCATCTTCCACTCCCCGACCTCCACCCAGCGCTCAGCCCCAGACATCGCTGTCCCCCTGGGGACATGCACGGTGCAACCTACCGCAGACAAACACGGACAGATTGGGACTCACAGAACTGGAACCTGATGGAACTAACTTTTCCTTTCCTTTCCTTTCCTTTCCTTTCCTTTCCTTTCCTTTCCTTTCCTTTCCTTTCCTTTCCTTTCCTTTCCTTTCCTTTCTTCCTTTTTTTTTGTGACAGTGTCTTGTTCTGTTGCCCTGATTAGAGTTTAGAGTGCAGTGGACTCATCATAACTCTCTGCAACCTCAATCTCCTGGGCTCAAGCAACTCTCCTGCCTGAGCCTCCCTAGTAGCTGGGACCATATGTGTGCACCACCACACCCGGCTCAGTCTTCTGTTTTTTGTAGAGACAGTCTCGCTCTTGCTCAAGCTGGTTTCAAACTCCTGGCCTCAAGCAGTCCTCCCGTCTCATCCTCCCAAAGGGTTAGGATTACAGGCGTGAGCCACGGGGCTCGACCCTGATGGAGCTTTGACAACACATAGTCCACACCCCACAGGAAATGTCTACACGTGGATGATGAAGCAAATAGGCCGCCTGTCCCCGCATCTCTGCCCTCTACACTCTCCTCACTGCCCACCAGGGGGCGGCAATGTCCCCCAGCTGGAGCTCCCGGTGAAAACTTCCTCAGCCGGGCAGGGTCTGACCCACACCCCCCTGCCTCAGCCCACGGTGCTCCTCGCTCTGCAAGCTCCCCACACCTCTCTGTCACCTCCTCCACCACCAGGCGTCCCCACCTGAAGGCCGCTCCCCCTGCAGGCGGTTCCTGCCCTGAATCCTCCCCAACAGGGCACTTTCCCTCATGACCTTCTCTCCAGCACCATCACCTATTCACCAAATGCCGCCCGGCTCCGCCTGTCCTGTTCTCTGGGGAGTCAGGGCCCAGCCCAGAGCTGACAGGGCAGAGGGGCTCCTTATGGTGGAAGCAAAGGGACCAGACACAGGGTGACCGGCCCCGCAGTGTGCGAGGACAGGGCACAGGCACCGCGGAGGGTGTGACCACCTGACCCTGCTCTCTGGCACATGTGGGGCCTCCACCCTGCCTGACTGGGGAGGGAGGACAGAGCTCGACAGGTGGACAGGGGTGAAGGAGGAGCCCCATCCGCTCCCAGAACACGGCCCACAGCCACCGGGTTCTCTGGCCACTGCCTGTCCTTCCTCTGCACTGAGGGCTTCACCAGACCCCCAAACCCTCGAGGCCAGACCCCAGGTGAGTGAGCACCGGGAGGCTGAGCCCATCCTGGCCGCAGAGGCAGTCAGGAGTCAGCACGGGTCTCTCCAGCCTGAGTCCCTGCTCTGCCCTGCCTGTCCCCGACTAACCAACCAGCACAGGTCCCTCCGCCCAGGACACAGGAGAGCCTGACCCTGCACACCTCCAGGAGGGACAGTTCCCTCTGGGACTCTGGGGTCCTGGAAGCTGTGACCAGGCTAAACCCAATGAGAGAGGGAGGGTCCCTGTCACCAATCGTCACTCAGCTTGCCCGATGCATGGCGGGGTGCAATCCCTGTGACAGACTTCCTGGTGGAGGCCCCGCCCTGCTCCTGCTCTGAGGAACCAGGTGGGGATGGGAGAGGGCAGCAGGGGTGGGGCTCCCGGTGCACCCCGACCCGGAGCCGTGGGGACCACAGGACGCTGAGGGCACAGGGCTGTGCTCACCCAACTAACAAGATGTGTGTGTGTGTGTGTGTGTGTGTGTGTCTATATGTGTGTTTGTGAGTGTGTCTGCCTTTGTGTGTCATACTTCTGTGTGTGTGTGTGTGTGTGTCTGTGGCCCGCAGGTTGGGGTGACAGAATTCTTGCTGAAAAAGGTAAAGGCCTCAGGAGTTTTCAGGGCCCTGAGATGTGGACAGAAGAAAAGGGGAAGGAGGGACAAGGAGGCAGGACTAAGAGGAGAGGGGACGGGGAGGGGACAGGGAGGTGTCCTGGGCACAGACCCCGCCCCAGCCCCCATGACCCTGGGAAGGGCTCCTGCCCCATAGGGAGGCTCAGCACAGAGGGAGGAAGGACAGCAGAGCTGACTCGTCGGAGCAGCCGTGCTCGGAGCGTTCCTGGAGCTGAAGCTCTTCTGCACAGAGGACAGAGCAGGCAGCAGGGACCATGGGGCCCCCCTCAGCCCCTCCCTGCAGAGGGCGCGTCCCCTGGCAGGGGCTCCTGCTCACAGGTGAGAGACGATGCCCTGGGGTGGGCAGGAGGAGGGAGCACAGACACTGGCTGGGGTCTCCTGGGGAGGACGGGGCTCTGAGAGGGACATAGGACTTCTATTGGAGCCTGATAAGGGGAGGGGACACCAAAGGGAAAGAGGAGGTCACAACAGGAAAGTAGCATTGAACTAAAATTGGAAAGGGGCAGGACAGACTCAATTGCTCTGTGTTCTCAAGGTTAATCATCAATGGTCACTAATTTTAAAAATGATAAAAACTATATTAGGGTGACGCTTGAAATAAACAACGAGGGGCACTAAACATGGCCCTTACCCACCAGTGTCAGATACTATCTTTATATTCATTGTAAAATAAACAGCAGGACATGCCAGGCCCTGAAAACACTCGTTCACTCACCCCAGCTCTGCAGCCTGTCCCAGGCTCTGGGGCACAACAAAGGTCAGACACGTCCCTGCCCTCACAGAGCTCACGTCCTAGTGGGAGGAAGACAGACAAGCAGAGAGATCTCGAATGTGAGGCCAGCTGTGGACAAGAGCCACAGAGAAAACAGGCAGGGAAAGGTCAGGAAGGGAAGACCCAGGGTCCCTAGAGGAGGTGTCCAGGGAAGGTCCCTCCCAAGGACGCCCCTGAGTGTGAGCAGGGATCTGAGGGCAGTGGGGGTGAGCCGTGCAGACACCTGGGAAGAGGATTCCAAGCAGGGCCATGGCCAGTCCAGAGGCGCTGGAGTGATGGTGGTCACACTGCTGACCTGGACCCAGAGCTCACACTCACACTCACACACACTCACACACTGACACACTCATGCCACAAAGCTGAGGGTGAAGAGACCTGCTCCAGACCCAGGGCCCATCTTTCCATCCCAATTCCAAGGTCGCAATATGGATTGATTCTCTCTCCTCTTTCCTAGTCTCACTTTTAACCTTCTGGAACCCGCCCGCCACTGCCCAACTCTCTGTGGAATCCGTGCCGCTCAATGCTGTGGAGGGGAAGGACGTTCTTCTACTCGTCCACAATGGGCCACAGGATGCTTTTAGCTATGTCTGGTACAAAGGGGACAAGGCAGACATCCACTATGGAATTGTAGAATATATAACAGTCACTCAAGAAAGCATCGCGGGGCCTGCATACAGTGGTCGAGAGACAATTTACCCCAATGGATCCCTGCTGTTCCAGCATGTCACCCTGAAGGACACAGGATACTACACCCTACAACTTATAAGGGAAAATTTTGACAATGAAGCAGTAACTGGACAGCTCCGCGTGTACCGTGAGTGATTCCCTGTGACCTCTCGGTGTTGGGGGGTCAGTTCTACTTGAGGCACACGTGGTGCAGGCTTGGACTGAGCCTGCCTCTCCCTCTGCATCATGTCCCAGGGTGGGGTTTGGGTACTTAGTACAGGACACACACAGGGGGGACAAACATCAGAAGATCAGATTCCTTTCCTGTGTCCACACCTGCAGACATTCCCTGCAGGGGAAGGACCAGTGTGACAGGTAACTCAGCAGGGAATCAGTCTCAGACCAGCCCCTGTGCCCTCCCCGTGGACATGGCCCTGAGAAGGACCCTGTAGGACCCGGTCAGGGCCTGGCCTGAGGGGGCCCCTGGGATCCTCACAAGAGCTCAGGCCCAGGGCTCCTGGGTCCATCCCGTGGTTCCCCGGTGGCCAGAGTCTGCAGGTCACAGAGGAGGCAGCTGTCCCGGGACCACAGTGTGCTGGGCACAGACCCTGTCGGGAGGGAGGCTGCTGGGAGTAGAGATGTGAGGTCTCCACGCCAGTCAGCTCCAGCATAAGTGACCCCTCAGGCTGGCCATGAAGTGGGAGTGACCCTGGGTCCCTCCACCCATTGGCTTGTGTATGTCACTGCTGGGGCAGGCAAGGTGACCTGAGCCAGGAGGAGCGGGGACTCCTTCAGAACCTGTGGAGCAGCGGGACAGTCCAGGCATTAGACTAACCCAGCCGGTACCCTGGTTCTCATTGCGCAGGTGTTCCACCTTGAGCAAGACGCTCCACCTCCTGAGCCTCAGTTTCCTTATCTGTAAAATTAGAACACCTGGATCTCAAAGTCACTGTGAGGGCAGTTATTAGGAGATTAATGAAATTAAAGCCCTTAGCACAGGGTCATACCCAGTCAGTGCTCAGTCAATACCACCAACTGGCACTCTTAGTTTTATTAACAGTTTTAATAGCAGCCAAGTGAGGCAGCTTGCTGTTTGTTGTCACTAGTTCTGTGATCTTCATTGACTTACTGAGCACTTTAAATCTCAGATTCTAAAACTGCAGAATAGGGGTGACACCCCCTCGCTACGGTGAGGGCAGGATCAGAGGGGGGTCGGGAAGTTGTTTCCCCCTGTGCCTGGCACATAGAAGGCCCCTGAAAACAGCCAATGACCCTCCTGACCACGGATGAGCACCGACCTGGCTGGGAAGGGCCTGCTGCGAACACTGTCACACGATGGAAAAGAAGAAACAGGGAGAGGCGGGACGTGACAGGAAAGTGGCATTAAGGGCACCAGGGCAGGGGAGGTCCAGGCTGCATGTGGAGAAGGTAGAGTCCGAGCAAGTCCACGGCGTCACCTGAGAGACTGAAGATGATGCCACCATGGAGAGCAAGGGAGTCGGTTATGGTGACAACACAAGGGGCACAGGGACATGGTGGCATTTCCTTCCTCCCTAACCACATCCCTTCCTGCAAGGCCCCTTGTGGTCTCCCCAGGAGCAGACTTGGGGCTCATCCCGTTTCTTCTCCTTTCAGCAAAAGAAAACGCCCCGGGCGTCCCTGTGTGGGCCATCGCTGGCATCGTGATCGAGGTCCTAGCCGGGCTGGCTCTGGTGGCCGCCCTGGGGTGTGTCCTGTTCCTCAGAAGGACTGGAAGGTACCAGGGCTTCCCCCTTCCTCGTCCTGTCCCCAGCTGAGCCAGGCAGGAGGAAGGAGACCCCGTCCTGTGTTCTGGGCCCGGCTCTCCCAGGCCTCCCAAACCCCGGGGGTCCTTCCCTCTCGTTCCATCTGGCCCCTCCCTCGCCAGCTGCTGGCCCTGGGCTGCGTCCTCAGCAGCGTGGTCCTCTGGGAGTGAGGCACAGTAGAGGACAGGCCCTGAGTGTGTCCTGGTTCCCTCACAGCTCCCTGCAGCTGCCTGGGTAAGTGCTCAGTGTCGGCGCCCCCTGCCGTCCATTGCAATCCGCCCACAAGGGGGCGATTTACAGGCTCAGGGGCTGAGGGGGTTCTGGCCAGGGTCCCAAGTGGAGAGAGGGAGAGCCTGGACTGGTTGGGGGTCAGCGGCCGGTGATCCTGAGACGGCAACACCTGGTGGCAGCAGACACGTGGAGGCACGTCCTGCAGTGTCCTCATGTCTCTTGCCCAGGTGGGTGGAGAGACGCGCCAAGGCTTGGTCACATGTCGGTCTGTTTTGGCCTGAGCCAAGGGTCTGGCCACAGCAGGGACAGCAATTTCAGGGAGGATCTAAGAGTCTTGTGTCTTCCCCAGGGTCCTGAGGCGAGGCTGGCCAGGCTTTGCCTGCAGGGCCGGGACCCTCCCCTCAGTGCAGCCCTCCTCTGGCCCACATCCACCTGAGGGTCCTTCCCTCTGGGCCAGGACACATGTGGCTCTTAAGGCCACAGCTCCCTCTCCTGCCCCCGCCACGGAACTGATGGGGAAAGGAAATCTCCACGCCCCTCCCTGGAAATGAGATCCCTTCCCTGTCCCCTGTTCTAACTCTAAACTTGTGAATTTAACGCTGTACCCTCACCAATAAGCCTGACCTTTCCTAGGGCGGGTGGCCAGCGTGACCTCAGGGACCAGCAGCCCCCCAAGTCCACCAGCGGTGAGTGCCCTTCCCCCGCAGGTGTGGCTGAGCCCCAAGGCCTGTCCCGCAGGGTCCACTCCTGCCAGTCACCCCCTGGGGACTCTGACCCTTCCATGCACCCCAAGGAAGAGTCTCATGAACATCAGCACAGGGGACCCTGACTGGCTGGGTCAGCCTCGAGCTGTGGCCTCTGGGTCACAGGTCACCTCCTTAGCCTCACTTGCTCACGAGTCCCCTATGGTGGTGGGAGGGTCTCTCCCAGGAGACGTTCTCTCCCCCATTCTCTGGGAGCTGAGGACCCCATGCCCTCCTGGAGGAGGGGCCCAGGCTCTCCCCACCCTGGAGCTAACACCTGTCTCTGTCCCCAGGACCTGCTCCCTCAGAACACAGCATCCCCTCGGTAAGCCTGTAGGCTCCTCAGCCCCTTCTCAAGGGGACCCCAGCTGTGTAGGCTCAGGGCAAGGGGACTGTCAACCCCCAGCAAGACCCTCCCTACCCCAGAATGGCCAGGACAAGGTTAGGCCCACACTAGCCAGGAGCTGGGCCTGTCCTCTGGGCAAGGACCACCCACGCTCTTCCCTGACCCACCCTGAGGAGACCCTGGAGTCCAGCAGGTGCAGAGGGGGTGCTGGGAGTGTCCCTCAGGGTCCCGGGTTAACAAGGGTGCAGGGAGGGCACAAGGTAGGGACTGGGGTGTCGTGTCCAGGCAGAGGGGATGAGCTCAGGATGCAGAGCTGGTCTCTCCTGAGAGGAAATGACCCACATAGACTCGGAACGTAAGTCCTTGCTGGTCAGAGACAAGACCCTTCTCGTCTCAGCCCTAGCCTCTATGACCCTCCGTCCCTGTCCCCTGATGTGGCTCTCTCTCCCCACCCAGGGACCCCAACCTAGCCCCAGGACAGCCAGCCACACCTATGAGGTGAGTGTGGCCCTCCATGTTCTGGTCCCACAGGCCCCCGGGGACCCAGGATCTGTCCCCACCCCACACCTGGCTGAGCTTCAAGACTCAGGAAACTGCAGTGGAAACAGGAACAAGGGGTGGTGAGCAGAGCGGGGAGGGGCCTGGGAGCAGGAGCCCCCTGAGCACAGCCAGGTCCAGCCACACAGCAGCCCGCTGGGCCCAGAGCTGGGAGACACCACTCTTTGCTCTGAGAAGCCTGCAGGGGTCAGAGGCCTCTTCTTTCTCTCTGCAGGAATTGCTGCACCCCGACACACACGTGTATGGCCGCATCAACCACAGAGCAGATGTGGCTTCTTAGCTTCCTCCAGGAACTGCCCCTGTGGGCTGAGAGTCCCCTAAGTCCCCAACCCTCTGGAGGGGGCAGTTCATGGAGCCTGAGCCAGAAAATCAGCTGAGCCCTGGGCAGACTCTGGGTACTTGGGCTGCAGATCGGGGTCCCTCCTAGCACCTTCCTTCATGCAGCAAGAACAGCAAGGAGCTCACCCAGGCTGCAGCGGGGGAGGGAAGTCGTGGGGATCGGCGAGTCAGGGAGAATAGGCTGGGCTTGACCTTGGGGGCTGGATGGCAGCAGAGGTGAGTTCTGTGTGTCTGTCCCCATCCTGGAGACCTGGACTATCATTATTGGAGTCACCTGCATACTGGTTAAATGTCAATACTCTCACGATCTCCTGATCTCTCATTTAATTTGTAAAGTCTTTTTTTTTTTTTAACCATGCGACAAATTCGTAGATTCTGCAGATGAACATGTGCCCATCTTTGAGAGGCCCTTCTCTTGTCCACCACACTTCTTAAGGCCATCTTCACTCTTTGCTCATTGCTCCTTACACAAAGCACATTGGCAGCCTGGACTTGGTCATCCTGACTATGGTGTCATTTGCTGCAATAATATTTATAGCCCCTCCAGGTCCAGAGAGAGGGAGACAGAGGCCACTGCATGTTCCCCCATACCTCTCCACCTGCTCTTTGGTAATAATGATCAGTTTTTTTAAATGGAAAGATTGTAAGCCATAGTTCTGTTTTGAGAGGGAGGGTGGGAGAAACAGAGGAGAGAGAGAGGGAGAGAGAGAGAGAAAGAGAGAGAGAGAGAGAGAGAGAGAGAGAGAGAGAGAGAGAGAGAGAGAGACTGCCACTGACTCAGCACAGATGTAACTGGAAAAACTTCCTCACAGGCACCTCTGCAGTCTCTGCTCCTCAGGACCACGGACAGTGACTCTGGGACTTGACTTCCCAGGGGCTGCAGCAGGGAGCAGGCAGGTGTATGTGTGTGTGGGGGGGGGGGGGGGGGGGGGGGACTGTAGGAAAAGCCAGCCATTCTATTCTACCTGAGAAATACGCAAGGAGGGAAAATCTGAGTCTTCTCTAATTTCTCTGATTTGTGTATTGTGACCCCGTTGCACGTGTCAGGATGTATGACTGTTGGCACATCCATGGTCACTCCCTGCAGGGCTGATTTTTGCACCCAGAGTGTGACCTCCAAGAGGCTGACAGCCCATGCTGGCCTCATGGAGTGTCTCCCTGGCCCGAAGACTCAAGTCACTGTCTCTACCTATGACACACTGGGGACATTCCATGATTAATTTCTGAGCCCCCGTGCCTGACCTTGGAACCTCACCCATCACCCAGCCTGGAGCAGCCCCTGAACACAGCGTCCTGCTCCCCGACCCCAGCCCCAGCTGAGCCCCAGGAAGCTGAGCTGAGCTGGGCCTCCAGGCTACTCTGGCAGCTGTTACAGGCTGAGCCTTGTCACCCCCATTTGATTCATTTCTACCCATGTCACACCCACGGAGCAAACTCAGGTCCTATAGACCAGCCCTGCCCTTCCAGGGACTCAGTCCAGATGATCCAGTGTGTCTGCTGGTCACACACAGCACTGAGGAAGCTCAGTGTGAGGTCACCTGGGTGCTCAGGGGTGGGGTGCCCCTGTGACCTGGCTGGGTCAGGGCCTTGCCTCACACCCTGCATCTGAGCAGCCACCAGGGTCCTCTGGGCCCTGTCCTCACACTCAGTGTCTCTGTCCTGGGTCACACTCGTCACCTCTCCTGGATACAGCCACAGCTCTGATGGGTGGGGTTGAGGCTCCGTCTCCCCAGTCCTTCCCACTCTGCCCACGTGAACCTGCTCAGCCCCATCCAACCCTCCCCTCACCAGGGCCTTGTGCTCTGGGTCCCTGGACACCCGTGCCCACGTCACGCAAACTTCAGAACAATGACAACCACCCAGTCCTGACACGCTCACCCAAGGCAGGAGTCCAGGGAGCCTCCCCAGGTGGGACACCTGTGGCTCGCACACTTGAGGCTTCCACGTGCAGGGGTGTCCTCATCCACCCCCTCCCTCCCTCCCCGGGTCAGTGGGCACCACAGGCTGCCTCAGACCACCAGCCCCATCCCCCAGACCGCTCAGTCTATGCTGACTGTCTGCATGGGGGAGATGTGGGGAACAGCAGGCACCCGGAAACCCACCTACCCAGGCACCACCACAGCCCCACCCCTCCTCACATCCATGACAGGGACAGGCACACAGAACTCACCTCTGCTCCTGTCCAGCCCCCAAGTCCAATCCCAGCCTATTCCCCCTGACTCCACTCCCCACGTCTTCCCTCCCCAGCTGCAGCCTGGATCAGCTCCTTGCTGCTCTTGCTCCATGGAGGCAGGTTCCAGCCTTTCTGTCACTGCCTGGGACGCTCTCCCTTCCCTCTCTCCTGTGAGCCCAGACCTAGCCGTCCACCTGCCAAAGTCACCAGCCACCTGCGCCCCTCCATCTTCCCCGCCTCTGCCCATGGAGGTGACAGCCCCTCCTGGATCACCCACTGCTCAGTGTGGGCCTTGGGTGTAATCACAGGTTCTGCAGGGGTCCGCTGGGCTCAGGTCACCTGTGGGACCAGGACCCCCAGAGGGACCAGCAGAGGGAGCTGCTCAGGGCGTCTCAGGGGCCCTGGCATCTGGTCTACACCAGGGGTGTGGCCAATAGCTCTTCCTGAAAGGATGAGTGGCGGACAGAGGGTGGACACAGGGACATGGGAGCTTTCCACCCAAAGAATTATTCCCAGAAAGGAGAGGAGAAGGGAGATGGACGTTCTCATACACTCCTGCAGACTGCTGTTGACCAGTGTCCACTTCTGAGAGCCTCCCCGAGCTGGGACTCTGAGAAGGCAGGACTGCGCCTGTGCTGCCTCTGCTCAAGCCAGCGACCAGCCCCCAGCCTGGCACAGGGTGTCCCATAAAAGCATGTGGAATGAGTGAGATCCAGGATCCACACTGCACACGGGAGAGACACCCTCGAGGATGGTCACTGCAACATGGCCTGTCAGTGCCACCAGGGAGAAGCAGCCTCAAGCCCGCAGAGGCATGTGGGTAGAGCATCAGAGTGTAGCCATGCAGTGGAATAGTGGGGACCAGTGAAACACATCATTGGAGCAAATCCTCATGTACTAATGAAGCATGTTTTTATAAAATAATGTTACCAAGCAATAATATAATTCAATAATGTTTGGCTACAAAAACTATGAGTGGGACAAATGACAAAGTGTAGGAGGATTCATACCAACTGTAATCAGTGCTCACACCCTGGAAACTGAGCTGGGGCAGAGGCGGAGTTCGGGGTCTAGACAGCGTATTGCACATGTTCGTATTGCTGGAATTTACAGCAAACATGCTTTCCTATGTGATTTCTCAAACAACAGGTGAAGCCATTTGAAATGACCCAGGAAGAGTGTGACATCCTCAGGGCTCAGAGCCCAGACCTCCATCCTACCCCCGCACTGCTGAGTCCCCTCTGATACCCTCAGAGCAAAGAGCCCCTTAGGTGATGTGATGGGAACATGACGGCCCACCTCCTGGGCTGGAAGAACGTGGCCAACGTGCCACTGCAGGGAAAGACCTCATGCCCATGTCACCCTTGAACTCTCTGTGCCCCAGGAAGATCCAAGGGGTCCTAAGGTGGCCAGGCCCTGCCCTGCAGAAAGAGGCCATTGTCCATGTCTGCCCGGGGTCAGTGGCCAGAGCACTAATCTGAACCCTGATCTTTGCCTGGTGCAGGACCCAAAAGGTCCTGAGCCCTGACATGGTCACTGTGCCTCTTCCTTGATGGAACTGTCTATGGCTCCCACTGTCTGCAGGACCTAAACCCCAACCCCACCCTGCAGGTGCCCCTGGATACTCGTCTGTCACACAGCATCCTGCCCCAGTGATAACTGTGCCCTGAGTCCTCAACATCCCCACTGAGCTTATTCCGGAGATAAGCGTTGGCAGACCTGATGCATGCCCATGGCTGTAGCCAGATTTGAAAGGTTTTACAAGAAATGTGGACCCACCTCGGTGGCTCACTCCTACAACCCTAGCACTCTGGGGGGTCAAGGCAAAGGATCACTTAAGGTCAGGAGTTCGAGACCAGCCTGGGCAAGAGCAAGACCAGGTGTCTACTAAAAATAGAAAAAACTAGCCAGGTGTGGTGGTGCATGCCTGTAGTCCCAGATACTCCGGAGGCTGAGGCAGGAGAATTGCTTCAACCCAGGAGTGTTAGGTTGCTGTGAGCTAGAGTGATGCCATGGCACTGTAGTACAGGTAACACAGTAAGACTCTGTCTCAAAGAAAAGAAACAAAGAAAGAAAGAAGTGTGCATTGAAATAAATGAAGTGACAAGGCATCAGACCATACAAATCTGAGTTTAGTGTAACCTTGTTCAGGAAGACCAGAGAACAGCAATGATCAATACAGACTGTGAGGCTGGATGTGGTGGTGGCACATGCCTGTTGTCCCAGCTACTCAGGAGACTGAGGTGGGTGGGGAGGAATCCTTGAGCCCAGGAGTTTAAGGTTGCAGTTTGCTATGATTGATGACGCCACTGCACTCTGGCTTGCTCCTCTTGGAGACAGGAGCAAGATCCCGTCTCCAAAAAAAAAAAAAAAAGACTCTGAAAGAAAAGACATGGACTATGATGTGGCATTGCAATTTTGTTTAGATACATGAAAAATGCTTAAAGGATGATTTTTTTTTTTAACAAAAACTGCTTGTCATACTTTTCCTTCTACATTTTCCTCACTGTCCACCAGAGGGCGGCAAAGTCACCCACAGCCCAGAGTCTCCGGGGGCCTGACCTCCCCCGGCACCGCCCACAGCAGCCAGATCAACTCAGTCTACTTTGTGCACCTACAGTTGAATGGTCAATCTCGTGTCCCTAAATCCTTGGATTCTTCTACCCAGAATGTCGAGGGTTCTGCAAGTGAGTTTAATGAGGACTATTCTCACCAGGGTGAGTGTGTTTCACATGGTGGATTTTTTACATCAAGACTTTTTTTAACTGTGGTAAAATATATCTAACATAAAATCTACCATTTTAACCATTTTTAAGTGTAGAAATTAAATGAAATTAACTATATTTACAATGTTACCTGACCATCAGCACTATTTTTTTTCCATAAAATTTGCATCACCCCAAGTAGAAACTCTACAGTCATTCAATCATAACCCCCCCATTCCTCCTGCCCCTAGACCCTGATAATCTGTGATCTATGTTCTGTCTCTATGAAGTTGCCTGTTCTTGGTATTTCACACAAATAGAATCATACAACATATGTCATTTTGTTTCTGGCTTATTTGCTTACTACACCCGTGTTGTGTTAATAGCATGTGTCAGAGCTTCGTTCCTTTTATGGCTGATTAACATTCCATTGTCTGTTTATACGGTATTTACTTACCCCTTCATCTGCTGATGTACAATTGGGTTGTTTCCACATCTGACTTATTGTGAATAATGATGCAATGAACATTCCCATGCAAGTATCCGTTTGAGTTCCAGTCTTTAATTCTGTGGGTATATATCTGGGAGTGAAATTGCTGCTTCATATAATCCCTCTATCTTTTTTTTTTTTTTTTTGCCCTGGCTAGAGTGAGTGCCATGGTGTCAGCCTAGCTCACAGCAACCTCAAACTCCTGGGCTCAAGCAATCCTGCTGCCTCAGCCTCCCGAGTAGCTGGGACTACAGGCATGCGCCACCATGCCCAGCTAATTTTTTCTATATGTATTACTTGGCCAATTAACTTCTTCCTATTTATAGTAGAGACGGGGTCTCGCTCTTGCCCAGGCTGGTTTTGAACTCCTGACCTCGAGCAATCCGCCCGCCTTGGCCTCCCAGAGTACTAGGATTACAGGTGTCAGCCACCGCGCCCGGCCTGATCACTCTATCTTTAGCTTTTTCAGGAACAGCTAAACTGTTTCCCATATTGGCTGCGCTATTTTATTCATATATTCCCACCAGTGATGTATGAGGATTTTAAATTCTCCACATAATGCCAACATTATGTTATTTAACAACAGTTGCTATTTAGCATTTTAAAAGAATTATAGCCATTATTATAGGTTTGATGTGCTATCTCATTGTGATTTTGATTTGCATTTCTCTAATGATTAATGATGTTGAGAGTCTTTCCCTGTGCTTCTTGACTATTTGCATATCTTCTTTGGAGAAATGTCTACTTAAGTCCTTTGCCCATTTTTTTTAATTGCATTGTTTTTCTTTATGTTGTTGAGTGGTAGCAGTTCTACATATGTACTAAACATGAAAGCTTTATGATATCTATGATTTGCAAATTTGTTCTCTCATTCTTTGGACGGTCTTTTCACATTCTTGATAATATCTTTTGATGCACAAAAGGCTTTCATCTTGATAAAGCCCAGTTTATCTATTTTCCCTTTTGTTGTTCATACTTTTGTGTCATATCTAAGAATCCATTGACACACCTGAGGTCATGAAGATTTACCCTCATGTTTTCTTCTAAGAGTTTTTTATGGGTTTAGTTCTTATATTTAACTCACTGATCTGTTCTGAGTTAATTGTTCAATATGGTGAGAAGTAGATTCCAGAACTTCATGCTTTTGCAGGTGGTTATCCAGATGTTGTAGCACCATTTACTTGAAAACATTATTCTTCCCTCATTAAATTATCTTTGCACCTGTATCAGTCAGGTTCTCCAGAAAGACAGAAACACTAAGATATAAGTATAATTACAGAAACAGAAACAGTTACGGATATGAGAGGGGATTTATTAGGGGAATTGGCTTATGTGAATATGGAGGCAAAGCCGACCCAGGACAAGCTGGGGAGCCAGGGAAGTCGGAAGCGCGGCTCAGGCCAAGTCCAAAAGCCTCAGGACCAGGGAGGCGACGGTGTGACTCTCAGGCCTGAGAACCTGGAGTTCTAATATCCAAGGGCAGGAGAAGAAAGTGTCCCAGCTCCACAGGGAAAGACAGACAGACAGACAGACAGACAGACACACAGACAAACAGACAAAGAGAGAATTCACCGTCCCTCTGCCATTTTATTGTATCCAAGCCCTCAGCTGAGTGGACACTGCCCCTACACCCTGCACTGGATGCAGGTGGGCAGCCTGGGGACACAGTGAATGGGACCCGGCTGACCTGACCCTGCACTCTCACCAGGGGTCAGCGCCCACCCCTGCCCAGAGAGTCAGGGCCAGCTCACACCCTTGGGAGGCTGCTCAGCCTCTCTGCGGCAGCCCTTACATCTCTTTTCCTCCAGGGGGCGACATCAGGACACCGAAACACTGAGGGAATTAATTCCCCCATGCAGGAACCGGGCTGTGGCTGAGGAGGTGGAGATGGAGTCTGATTTCCATCCCCTGCTCCAGTAGAGTCTTCTGGTCCTTCCCACATGCCTGCTGTGTCCTGCTGGATCCTTCCAGGGGCCTCTGAGTTCCCTGCTCTGCCAGGGCTCCCTATGCAGCTCCCCACTCACTCCTGACACCCCCATGGGGAAGGTGGGGTGACCACAGGAGAGTCAGCCAGACAGAGGGCAGAGGCCACCCAGGACAGTCAGGGAGAACATGGACAGGCCCTGAGCCAAGGCTCAGCCATCAGACATGGAGAGTGAGGGGCTCCCTGACGCCCTTCCTCAAGGACAGTGGACCCCAAGGCCCCCCTCCCTGCACCACAGTCCTCTCTGCCCAGGACACCGCCCCCCCCCACACACCAAGGAGCTGCAGCCCCTCCTGACACTCCTGCACCTGGGGCTCTGTCCCTGGGTCAGAGGACAGGATGGTGACTCTGGAGATAGAATCAGCTGCCCCGTTCAGGTCCCCAGTGCTGTCCCTGCCACCAGCCTGCCAGCCGTCACCCTCCTCCCCAGAGCACTAGAGAACAGGGGAAGACCCAAGGCCCGGCTGGGCTTCTGTGTTGCAAAGAGAAATAAAGCCCCGGTCTGACCCCAGGGGCTCTGTGTGGCGCTGACAGACCCAAGGCCAGGACACAGCAGAGGCCGGTGCTGGGGAGGGCAGGGCAGCCTGGCATGGGAAAGAGGATCCAATCAGCCTTGCCTCTCTAAGTGTGGTCTGAGAAAGCAAAACACAGACACAGGGAAAGGAGGAGGAGGGACAAGGAGGCAGGATTGAGAGGGAAAGGGACAGGAAGGTGCCCTGGGCACAGACCCCGCCTCTGACACACATGACCAGCCAAAGCTCTGGGCCCCAGGAGGAGGCTCAGCACAGAGGGAGGAAGGACAGCAGAGCTGACTCGTCGCAGCAGCCGTGAGCGTTCCTGGAGCTGAAGCTCTTCTGCACAGAGGACAGAGCAGGCAGCAGGGACCATGGGGCCCCCCTTGGACTCTCCCGACAGACAGCGTGTCCCCTGGCAGGGGCTCCTGCTCACAGGTGAGAGGGGCGATGCCCTGGGGATCGGTGCGAGGAGGGAGCACAGACACTGGCTGGGGTCTCCTGGGGAGGACGGGGCTCTGAGAGGGACAGAGGACTTCTGCTGGAGCCTGAAGAGGAGAGGGGACACCAAAGGAAAAGAGGCGGTGACAACAGGAAAGTCACACTGAACTGAAACTGGAAAGGGACAGGACAGTCTCAATTGCTCTGTTTTCTCCAGGTTAATCATCAATGGTCACTACATTTTGAAAATGGTAATAACTATATCAGGGTGACCCTTGATATAAATATAACGAGGGGCACTAAACATGGCCCTTACCCACCAGTGTCAGACATTATCTTTATGTTATTGTAAAATAAACAGCAGGTCATAGAGGGCCCTGGAAACACTCATTCACTCACCCACAGGTATCCGAGCCTGTCCCAGGCTCCGGGGCACAACAAAGGTCAGAATTGTCCCTGCCCTCACAGAGCTCACGTCCTAGTGGGAGGAAGAGACAAACAGAGAGATCTCAAATGTGAGGTCAGCTGTGGACAAGAGCCACAGAGGGAACAGGCAGGGAAAGGTCAGGAAAGGAAGACCCAGGGACCCTAGAGGAGGTGTCCAGGGAAGGTCCCTCCCAAGGACGCCCCTGAGTGTGAGCAGGGATCTGAGGGCAGTGGGAGGTGAGCCGTGCAGACACCTGGGAAGAGGATTCCAAGCAGGGGCATGGCCAGTCCAGAGGCGCTGGAGTGATGGTGGTCACACTGCTGACCTTGACCCACAGGACACAAACACGTGCACACACACAGACACTCATAAACACTCACACACACAGTCACACCCCAAGGCTGAGGGTGGAGAGACCTGCTCAGGACTCAGGGCCCATCCTTCCATCTGAATTCCAAGGTCGCAATATGGATTGATTCTTTCTCCTCCCTCCTAGTTTCACTTTTAACCCTCTGGAACCCGCCCGCCACTGCCCAAGTCTCTGTGGAATCCGTGCCGCTCAATGCTGTGGAGGGGAAGCACGTTCTTCTACTCGTCCACAATCTGCCACAGGATACTATAGGCTACATCTGGCACAAAGGGGACAGGACGGACAGCAGCTACAGCATTGCATCATATGTAATAGACACCAAAACAAACATCACGGGGCCTGCATACAGTGGTCGAGAGACAGTTTACCCCAATGGATCCCTGCTGTTCCAGCACGCCACCCTGAAGGACACAGGGTACTACACCCTACAACTTATAAGGAAAAATCTTCAAAATGAACAAGTAACTGGACAGTTGCGCGTGTACTGTGAGTGATTCCCTGTGACCCCTGGGTTTTGGGGAGTCAATTCTACTTCATGCACATGGGATTGTCAGGGCTGGACTGTGCCCACCTCTGCATCATGTCCCATGGTGGGTTTGGGCACTTAGTGCAGGACACACACGGGGGAGACAAACGTCAGAAGATCAGAATCCTTTCCTGCGTCCAGACCCTGCAGACATTCCCTGCAGGGGAAGGACCAGTGTGACGGGTAACTGAGCAGGGGATCAGTCTCAGACCAGCCCCTGTGCCCTCCCCATGGACATGGCCCTGAGAAAGACCCGGTCAGGGCCTGGCCTGAGGGGCCCCCTGGGATTGTCACAGAGAAGCTCAGACCCAGGGCTCCTGAGTCCAGGTGACCCTGGGGAGCTCTTGGCCAGGGCTGGGTGTTGGGCTCCTGACTGGGGGCCACAATTTACCAGCTGTCCAAGGTTCCTAGAACCCCACAGCCTCATCTGGGCAATCACATTGCCCCGATAGTCACCTGAGACTCAGAGTGGATGGCACACAGACAGCTTCCTCAGGCCATCAGCTCACTGCCCTGGGGGACTTAAGAGACTTCAGGGAAGTCAGTGTCCCCAGCGGGAGGAACAGAGGACAGAGGACACTCCTGGAAGCTCCTGTCCACCAGGGAGCAGGCCGGGAGGCACTCAGGGATACAAAACAATTGATGCTGTTTATTTGGGCAGCTCCTCTGCACAAAGCTTAGGTCAGGTAATTGTTAATATTTTAAGGTTAATTCAGAGACAAGATAAGCCAGAGACGATTTACCATACATCATATTTTACTGAGGGGAAACAGAGGAATGGGGCAATACAGTCACTGAATTATGGTCACACATAACATGACTGAAGATCAGAGTCACAGGAGGCCTGTCTGCAGCCACAGCCTCAACTCCATAGGCCTTATTAGGCATCTGGGGACCCCAACGCCAGTGGTGGGATCAGCTGCATCTGCAGCTCAGAGGGGGGATTCTGGTCTGGGGAGTGAGGAGCAAATGGAGAATTAGTCAGTTTCACTCTAGAACTAAATCACCTGCCTCAACAAGCAGAGTCAGCGTCAGGAATGCCCAGGCCTCCCCCTAGCCACACCCCCCACTGGACTCTAAACCAGATGTTTCCTGGTGTGTCCGTGTCACTGCCATGGAGGGTACAGGAATGATGTGGCTTTGTCTCTCCCCACTAATACCCTGAACCAGTACAGGGCCCAACATGCGACACTCTCAGTAGTTCTCTGATGAAGGAGGGAGGGAATGAATGAATGAATGAATGATCCATGTGCTCTTCAGAGACTGGATCCTGGATGCAGAATCCTAGGAAGTTCTTACCACGCCTGTTCCTTGCTCCTCATGCCCTGAGACCCAAGCTCCATTCCGCTGACCCCTGCCCCTAAAGCCAGCAGGAACCTCCTCTAATGTGACTCTGGGGGGAACTTCCTGGCTGTGGGGGTTTCGGGGCTCCCTGGCCCTGGTCCTGAGGTCTCTGAAATCACCGGAATCCCCATGCTCACTGCCGTGGCCTGCGTGGCTCTTTCTGCTCCTCCGTATCCTTCATCTTCCTTCCCCATCATTCCAATTGGGACTGTACCTGCCCTGCACAGCTTCCTCCACCCTTAAGCTTTCACCTGACACTCCCACTAACAACACCTGCCTGTCCTGGTCCCTTCCCACTAAGCCCGTGGCCAGGCCCACCTCATGGACAGTAGTAAAGGCACAGAAATCAGTGGGAGCAGCCGCCCCTGCCAGGCTGCATCACGAGCCAATGTCCCCAGGTCATCAGGAGAACGAGCTTCCACTATGTCCCCACCCAGGGCTCTTTCCTTCTGTGAGTTGACACAAGACAGGCCACAGGACAAGCACAGGCGACCCCTTCATCTATTTTGTACACTGTGTGACCAGAGGTCAGAGGAAAAGGACAGGTCTGCAACCCCCAAAGCCACAGGCTCATTTCACCCCCTGACTCCTGACTCCAGCCTCGTCCTGGCCTGGGCTCACGTCCTCCGTGGTTCCCAGAACCTTCCCTGGTGGACCTGGCCAGACTGGTGCTGTCTGAGGGGTGACAGCCCCACAGGCAACTGCGTCCCTCCAGACGACATGGTTACCAGAAGGTGGGGTCCCTCAGATGGTGAGAGGCACCAGCCAGGGCATCTTAGTTAGACTTTGTCCAGTTTGGACAAATGGGATCAAACCCTAGTTGTGTTTCCTGAGGTCAAGAGAAAGGAAGAAGGCATTTCCCATGCCTCGTCGGGCTCCTCCCCATTTTGCCTAACTCTTACCAGGAATGATGGTCATGAAACTCTTTCTAAATTTATTACCATCACACATCACTTCTCCTAATTTGGTGACATTCTTCTCTTTTTATTATTGAGACACCTCACACTTCCCTCGGACTAGTTCTGTCCTCGTAACAGGGCTCATGCGTCTCTCTCTACCCAGGGAGTCACTGATTCCAAACCGACTTCATCATCTTCCTTGAGCGTAATGTGACCTGCTGGACTTCAGAGCTTCATCTAAGACCTCATCATGCTCCCTACAGAAATATTCCTCCCAGCAATTGGTCTTAGATCCTGAGTACTAATAATACTTTAGAGATATGGAAGAAACTTAAAAACTTTTCATATTCCTATCCCATCTGCCCAACACACGAGGTCCATGAGGCCAGATTCCAGCATGTTCGTGCTCCCCCCTTTGCAACAGTCAGTTTTGCATTTGCATATGTCCATGTGTATTTCTGGAATGATCCACACAGAGTCCTCATATGCCCTATGCAGAGAGAAGGGACATTAAGGTCCAAGGCCAGGGAACATGGCTCTGCTTCAAAGCCACCAGCTCCTACATGACCCCTCAGTCTTTTCTAGATGATTCCTTGGACTCTGCTCTACCTTTTAGGAGTCAGTGGCTCATGTCAGTCACCATCAAGCAGCTGGGAAACACTGCCTCAACCTGTGGCCCCACAGCCTGACTGCTGAGCTGCTCTCCAGGCTGGCTCCTGCTCTCCCTGCATTATTTGTGCTCAAACACCCAGTCTCAGGCCAGGCTGCCCAGTAACCTCAGGGTCTAAGAACAATGGGAAGTCCCCTCAGCACCCATCTCTGGGATAACTGAGCACAGCCTCACAGAAACACACCTAGGGGGTCAAAGTGGGACTATGAAGCTAGAAGGGACCTAACGCCTGCACATTCCAGGTGAGGACCACAGGGTCAGTCAGGCAGTCAGGGAAGGACCAGGAGAGGCGCCAGGGTGGGGGTGGAGGGGCACTCTGGCTCCAGGTCCTGTGTCTGTCCACCACCCACTGCTGCTGCTCAGGTGAGAAAGTCTGTGCATCTCCCAGACACAGAGCAGGTGGCCTCACGTTCTCTGACCCTCAGATCGTCCTGCGTCTGTCTCGTGACACACACACCTGCCTTGGTCTTTTAATCACTCGGGTTGGCTGAGAGGTGAGAGATGCCAACCCTGATTGAGGGATGATTTTAGAGGAATCAAAGGTAGCACCCAGGGCAACCTTCTCTCTGTTATCTGCACAGCGGAGTTACCCAAACCCTCCATCACAAGCAACAGCTCCAGCCCCGTGGAAGATGAGGACTCCGTAGCATTAACCTGTGAACCCGAGACTCAGGACACCACCTACCTGTGGTGGATAGACGGCCAGAGGCTCCAAGGCAGTGACAGGCTGGTGACATCCCTGGACAACAGGACCCTCATTCTAATCTTTATCACAAGGAATGACACAGGATCCTATCAGTGTGAAAACAGGAACCCAGTGAGTGGCAGCCGCAGTGACCCAGTCAACCTGAATGTGCTCTGTGAGTATTTTCTGTTCCTCCACAGCCCAGGCTGCATCCCAAAGTCACATGGCCAGAGACAAGGCCATTCAGTCTCTCTGGGGTCTGAGTACACAGACCCTCACGCCTGGACACCCAGGCTGGCCAAGATTCCTGCCCCAGGCAAACCCGGTCAGGCCCAGCCTTGACCAAGAGTAGGAGGGAGGGGCGCTCCTGTCTTGAGATGCTCATGGTCAACAACCTGTGATGAGAGAAACACGTCAGTGTCTCAATGTCTCAGACTCAGGTTATCTTTGGGATTTTTTTTTCAAGAGACAGGGTCTCATTCTGTTCCCCATGCTGGAGTGCTCTGGAGCGATCACAGCTCACTGTAACCTCCAACTCTTGGGCTCAAGTGATCCTCCTGCCTCAGCCTCCTGAGTAGCTAGGACTATAGGCACACACAACCAAACACAGTCAGGTTTTTTAATTTTCTGCACAGAGAGGGTCTCCCTGTGATGCCCGGGCTGGTCTCTAACTCCTGGCCTCCCACCTCAGCCTCTGAAAGCACTGGGATTACCGGTGTGAGCTGCCGCACCTGGCCAGCTTGTTACTTTTTAAACAAGATTGTGACAGGATTCAGAGGGACACTGTGGCCCTTCTATAGACCAGGAGCTTCCCCTTTCCTCTGATGACATCACATGTGGCTTTATTCTCTTTGTCCAGATGGCCCCGACGTCCCCACCATTTCCCCCCCAGACTCCTATTACCCTCCAGGGGCAAACCTCCACCTCTCCTGCCACGCGGCCTCTAACCCGCCTGCACGGTATTCCTGGCTTATCAATGGGAGTCTCCAGATACCCACACAAGAGCTCTTTGTCCCCAGCATCACTGTGAGTCATAGCGGATTCTATGCCTGTGTCGCCTACAACTCTGCCACTGGCCGCAACAGGACCACAATCAAGAATATCACAGTTTCCGGTACGTGAATCCCTGGAGGTTTGGCATTGAGTTTTGGCATGGGCTATGTCTGCTGTCCAGAGAAGAGCCATAAAGAAGTTTTCTTCCCCAGCCTGTGTCCTGGGCACAAACTAGTCCCAGCTTCCCCCTGAGCCCTCCCACGGCATCTCTGCAGACTGTCTCCTCCCCTGGCTTCTCTGATTTCACACACCTGACCTTGGGTCTAGCCTGGAATGTGGGGTGTCGGGGGGGTGGGTTGTGGTGGTGTCCCCTCAGCCCCAGAGAGCCCATCTAGTGGGAGGGGCTTCACAGAGAGGGAGAGAAAGGGTCCTCAAGGTCAAGTGGCTTCTTTCTTTGGCTAACACTTCCCTTTCTGTAACTTCTTTGTTTTTTTTTTTACGTTCTCCCTGAGCTACGAAGAACATAGGAGGTTTGGAAACAGGCTCACATTATTTTCCCCCAAATGAGAAGATGAAACCCCTCAGAGGAGGGGTGAGCATCTCGGAGCTCTGCTCCCTGCTCTGCTCCCAGCTGGCCTGGTGACCGGCCCTGCTCTGACCCCTTCCGGGCTGGGACGGGCCATGTGCAGAAGGTGTCCGGATGGCCCGGCCTGAGTCTGGCTACATTGTGCTGCCAGAGCCTTCCCCAAGTGAAGCTGCAGGGAAATGGGAAGAGAGAGAGCCTCAGGGCAGAGTCCTGAGAGTGTCCTGGCTCTGAAGTCACCAAAAAACATAAAGCTGTGGACACAGCACCTGTGACCCACTGCAGAGAACAGCGAGTGACGCCCCCGTGGAGAAACAGAAAGATCCACCCGCAGAGTCTCTACAAGGAGGGAAGTGGCAGCTCCAAAAGTTTCTCTCTGTAGAGAATGTAAGAGTCTCAGCCTTTTATTAACACCCGTCCACAGACCAGGAAGTGAAAGTCCTTCAGATTGAGAAATCCTTGAGGTTGCAACTTGTTCAGAGACTGGTCATGAAGACAGGCTGGGCCTTCTTCATTCCTAATAAATGATTTAGTGGAAGAAAGCACCTCTTTTGTGTGTAGAGCGACAGCACTGGGAAGGGGCCTGATCCCAGGAGCTCTAGGAAAAGGTCACAAAGTCAATGGGAGAAACATCACACCTGACGATGAGGCTGCAGGACATGTGCGCTGAGAAAGGGTCCCGGAGAAGATGCCACAGAGATGTCCAGGGGGGTAGTCAGGGGTCAGCCTGTGGTCAGAGGGGAGGTGCCGCCCTCTCCTTACAGAGTATCTCCTGAACAAACACACCTGACCTTCTACAGAGGGTCACAGTGTCCCCTGGGTGGTCACTTTGCACAGCTCCCTGTGGGGCCTGACAGCTGGCTGAGACCTCTGAGGAAGGGGCATGGCCCCAGGCCCAGGCCACTCTCAGTCCTCTGCTTGTCCACAGAGCCACAGCCAGTGGCACAGCCCTCCATCCACGCCAGCAGCAGCACAGTCACGGAGGACAAGGACTCTGTGGTCCTGACCTGCCTCACAAGTGACACTGGAATCTCCATCCGGTGGATCTTCAACAACCAAAGTCTGCAGGTGACACAGAGGATGCAGCTGTCCCAGGGCAACATCAGTCTCAGCATAAACCCTGTGGAGAGGGGGGATGCCGGGGAGTATCAGTGTGAGGTCTCCAACCCAGTCAGTCACTGCCGAAGTGACATCTTCAGGCTGACCGTGGAACGTGAGTGACCCTGGGTCCCTCCACTCCTTGCTTTCCTAATCTCACTGCTGGGGGATGTAAAATGATCCAAGCCACAGGGAGGGGGACACTCTCCCAGAGTCTACGGAGAAACGTGGTCCATCCAGGGATTAGACTCGCCTGGTCATTCTCTTCGTTCTGATGCGTTCCAGGTGTTTTACCTTGACCTTGATCTTGTTTGTGCAAGACACCCAAACTCTTGAGTCCCGGTTTCCTCACTATAAAACTGTATGAAATATATTACAAAGAATACAGATGACAGGATCATCGGGCGAGGTGTGAGGAGCATCCGAGCTCTCCCTGGTGCGCCACCCTCCACGAACCTCCATGGGTTCAGCTATCGGAAGGTCTCTGAGCCCAGCCCTTGTGGGTTTCTATGGAGGCGCCATTACTCAGGCATGATTGGTTGAACCATTGGTTATTGGTGGTCATGGTGATGTCCGATCTCCTCCCCACCCAGAGGCTGGGGTGAGGCTGAGAGTGCCACCCCTCTAATCCAGCCTTGGTCTCTCCAGGGACCAGCCCCATCCCGAAGCTGCCCAGGGGCTGCACCCCACAAGCAGTCATCAGCACACGAAGACATTGCTTTTTAGAAGTCCTCAGGCAGGAATCACAGTTGAAGGCCAAAAACATACTTCACAATATCACACACCCCTCGCTACGGTGAGGGCAGGATCAGAGGAGGGTCAGAGTTGTTTTCCCCTGTGCCTGGCACCAGAAGGCTCCTGCAAACAGCCAATGGCCGTCATGGCCACGGATGAGCACCGCCCTGGCTGGGAAGGGCCTGCCGAGAACACTGTCACACGATGGAAAGAAGAAACAGGGAGAGGCGTGACTTGGAGGACAGTGGAATTAAGGGCACCAGGGCAGGGGAGGTCCAGGCTGCGTGTGGAGAAGGTAGAGTCCGAGCAAGTCCACGGCGTCACCTGAGAGACTGAAGATGATGCCACCACGGAGAGCAGGGGAGTCGGTTATGGTGACAACACCACAAGGGGCACAGGGACATGGCGGCATTTCCTTCCTCCCTAACCACATCCCTTCCCTTAAGGCCCCTGTGGTCTCCCCAGGAGCAGACTTGGGGCTCATCCCGTTTCTTCTCCTTTCAGCAAAAGAAAACGCCCCAGGCGTCCTCGTGGGGGCCATCGCTGGCATCGTGATCGGGGTCCTGGCCGGGGTGACTCTGGTGGCCGCCCTGGGGTGTGTCCTGTTCCTCAGAAGGACTGGAAGGTACCAGGGCTTCCTCCTTACTTGTCCTGTCCCCAGCTGAGCCAGGCAGGAGGAAGGAGACCCTGTCCTGTGTTCTGGGCCCGGCTCTCCCAGGCCTCCCAAACCCCGGGGGTCCGTCCCTCTCGTTCCATCTGGCCCCTCCCTCGCCAGCTGCTGGCCCTGGGCTGCGTCCTCAGCAGCGTGGTCCTCTGGGAGTGAGGCACAGTAGAGGACAGGCCCTGAGTGTGTCCTGGTTCCCTCACAGCTCCCTGCAGCTGCCTGGGTAAGTGCTCAGCGTCGGCGCCCCCTGCCGTCCATTGCAATCCGCCCACAGGGGGGCGATTTACAGGCTCAGGGGCTGAGGGGTTCCTGGCCAGGGTCCCACAGTGGAGAGAGGGAGAGCCTGGACAGACTGGGGCCAGCAGCCCCAGATGCTGACGGCAGCAACACCTGGTGGCCGCAGAGACGTGGCTCCACGTCCTGCAGTGTCCTCATGTCTCTTGCCCAGGTGGGTGGAGAGAGGCGCCAAGGCTGGTCACATGTTGGTCTGTTCTGGCCTGAGCCAAGGGTCTGGCCACAGCAGGGACAGCGATTTCAGGGAGGATCTAAGAGTCCTGTGTCTTCCCCAGTGTCCTGAGACGCGGCTTGCCGGGCTTTCCCTGCAGGGCCTGGACCCTCCCCTCAGTGCAGCCCTCCTCTGGCCCACATCTGCCTCAGGGTCCTTCCCTCTGGGCCAGGACACATGTGGCTCTTAAGGCCTTAACTCAGCTCCCTCTCCTGCCCCCGCCACGGAACTGATGGGGAAAGGAAATCTCCACACCCCTTCCTGGAAATGAGGTCTCCTCCCTGTCCCCTGTTCTAACTCTAAAGTTCTGAATTTAACCCTGCACCCTCACAAATAAGCCTGACCTTTCCTAGGGCCAGTGGCCAGCGTGACCTCAGGGAGCAGCAGCCCCCCAAGTCCACCAGCGGTGAGTGCCCTTCCCCCGGGTGTGGCTGAGCCCCAAGGCCTTCCCCACAGTGTCCACTCCTGCCAGTCACTCCTGGGGGCTCTGACCCTTCCATGGACCCCAAAGAGGAGTCTCATGAACATCAGCCCAGGGGACTCCGACTGGCTGGGTCAGCCCTGACCTGTGGCCTCTGGGTCACGGGTCACCTCCTCAGCCTCACTGGCTCACAAGGCCCCTATGGTTGAGAGGGTCTCTCCCAGGAGACGCCTCTCCCCCATTCTCTGGGAGCGAGGACCCCTGACTTCCTGGAGGAGGGGCCCAGGCTCTCCCCACCCTGGAGCTAACTCCTGTCTCTTCCCCCAGGACCTGCTCCCTCTAACAGAGGCACCCCCTCGGTAAGCCTGTCCCCTCCCCAGCGGCTTCTCAAGGGGACCCCAGCTGTGCAGGCTCAGGACAGGGGGACTGTCAACCCCTGCACAGACCCTCCCTACCCCAGAACGGCCAGGACAAGGTTAGGCCCGCCCTTGCCAGGAGCAGTGCCTGTCATCAGGGCCAGGATCACCCTTGCCCTGTCCTGACCCACCCTGAGGAGACCCCTGAGTCCAGCAGGGGCAGAGCGGGTGCTGGGAGTGTCCCTCAGGGTCCCAGGTTAACAAGGGTGCAGGGAGGGCACAGGGCAGGGATGGGCTGTCGTGTCCAGCCTGGGAGGCTGAGCTCAGGATGCAGAACTGGTCCCTCCTCAGGGGAAATGACCCACAGTAGACTCGGAAAGTAAATCCTGGCTGGTCAGAAACAAGACCCTTCCAGTCTCAGCCCCAGCCTCCATGACCTTCCCTCACTGTCCCTTGACGTGGCTCTCTCTCCCCGCCCAGGTCCCCCAACCTGACCCCAGGACAGCCAGCCCCACCTATGAGGTGAGTGTAGCCCTCCATGTTCTGGTTCCACAGGCCCCCGGGGACCCAGGATCTGTCCCCACCCCACACCTGGCTGAGCTTGGAGACTCAGGAAACTGCAGCAAAAATGGGAGCAGGGGGTGGTGAGCAGAGCAGGGGGGGGCCTGGGAGCAGGAGCCCCCTAAGCACAGCCGGGTCCAGCCACACAGCAGCCCGCTGGGCCCAGAGCTGGGAGACGCCGCCCCCTGCTCTAAGAAGCCTGCAGGGGTCAGAGGCCTCTTCTTTCTCTTTGCAGGAACTGCTGCACCCTGACACAAACGTGTACGGCCGCATCAACCACAGAGCAGATGTGGCTTCTTAGCTTCCTCCAGGAACTGCCCCTGTGGGCTGAGAGTCCCCTAAGTCCCCAACTCTGTGGAGGGGGCAGGGTGTGGAACCTGAGTAGAGAATCCGCTAAGCCCTGGCAGGTTCTGTGTCCTGCAGCTGGGGACGGGGGTCCCTCCTGGTGTCCGCAGTCCTGGACAGGCTGCCAGGGCTCTGGCAGGGCCAGGATAAGGGCTCCTGTCACCACAGGAAGTGCAGCTTCCAGGGACAGTGAATGGGGCTCGTGGCACCAAGGACCACCTGGAAAGGGCTCAATAAAGAGGACCCTTCCTTCGATGGCTCTGTGTCTGCTCATGGAGACTTAACAGAAATTGACACCCTCTGTGTGCTCTGTCCCGGGTCACAAAGGGAAAACATGACCCTTACATTACCCCAACCCCAGTCTCTCTTTGCTGGGAGACAGGAGGCAGGAGTTGGGATTCGGGATGGGGTGGACCACACACAGGGGAGGGTGACATCCAGGAGGGCCTGCCCAGCCCACAGAGCACTCAGCTGTCCTCAGACCCCCCCCAGGGCACCAGGGACAGCTCCCAGCCTTTGCAGGCCCTTCCCCCCACCACCCCGTGAATTCGCACTGGGTCTCAGGGGCACAGAAGAGGGGACCACCTGATGTCCACACGCAGATGGACGAGGACGGAGCACCCACGGGCAGTCAGCTCAGGTGCGACATTCTCACCAACAAGCCGGTCAGCGCCCTGAAGCCCAGGGTCACCGTTCCTGAGGATGTTCCGCTGTTGCTGAGTGTCATTTGTCATGAGCTGAGGGGTAAGAAATACAGCTTCAACATCTCACGTCATGATTCCGCTCTAACTGACCCTGTATCCACACGCACACATCACCGATTAGACCAGGTGGCGCCTCCTGCTTTCGTTTCCTGTTACTGCTATAACAAATGTCACAAATTTGGTGGCATAGAACAACACAAACCAAGGTGCCCGCTTGGCTGTGCTCTTTCAGGGGGCTGCAGGAGAGAGTCCACTGCCTCACCTTTTCCACCTTGGCAAGGTCGCCTGCGTCATCGGCTGTGTCCCCTTCTTCCAGCGTCAAAGCCAGCAGCACAGTGTCTTGACAGCCCTCTGTGCTCTGCTCCCATCCTCCCATCTCCTCCTCCTCCCCTCACCCTCCTGCCCCCATCTCTCATCGGTAATGAAGGGGCCTTCTACTGGCGCCACCTGGATAAATGACAATGATCTCCCAATCTCCTCATCCTTCCTTTAGTCTGTAGCGTCTCTTTTCCCACGCACGGCTTTGAGAGGCCCGTGCTCTGCCCCCCACTCCTCTCAAGGCCATTTTGTCATCTTCGTTCAGTGCAAACTGCACGCGAGCCCCTGGATGGGGTGGCCCTGCCTGTGCTGTCAGTTCCCGCAGTGACACCCACAGCAGCCGCCGGTCCCGAGACAGAGGTCTCTCCACGCCCCCAGGACCTCTCCAACCTCTCCTTGGTGACATGCTCAGTTCAGCATGAAAGAGAGCAGACACAACCGAAAGATCGCAGCTCCTAAGCCTTTCAATAGTTCACTGTCATCACCGTGAACCGTCACCTCCTCCTCCTGGCCATCAGCACCTCGGACAGTGACTCAGGGAAGCTTCTTCCCAGGAGGGGCACCAGGGAGCTCACGGGTTGGGAGGGACTGTGGGGAAGGCCCCCCGTCTATCCTACATGACAAAGAGGCATGGAGAAAGTTATTACAGGGGTAATCTGATTCTTCTCTGATTTCTATATTGCGAGCCATCTGCACATGTCTGGACATTAGGGTTGATGACACATCCATCGCCAGTCCCTGCAGGGCTGATTTCTGCACCCGGAGTGTGACCTTGGCGAGGCTGGCAGCCCATGCTGGCCTCATGGCGAGTCTCCTAGCCCAGACACTCAGGCCACTGTCTCTGTCTATAACACACTGGGGACATTCCATGATTAATTTCTGAGCCCCCGTGCCTGACCTTGGAACCTCACCCATCACCCAGCCTGGAGCAGCCTCTGAACACAGCGTCCTGCTCCCCGACCCCAGCTGAGCGTCTTTTCATGTGTTCGTTGACTATTTGTATATCTTCTTCAGAGAAGTGCCTATTTGCCTATTTTTAGTGAGCCTGGTGAGGCTCACTGGACACTTGCCTTGGGTGAGGGTGTCAGGACTGGGTGGTTGTCATTGTTCTGAAGCTTGCATGACATGGACACAGGTGTCCAGGGACCCAGAGCACAAGGCCCTGGTGAGGGTCGGGTCGGATGGGGCTGAGCAGGTTCACGTGGTCAGAGTGGGAAGGACTCCTGGGGAGACGGAGCCTCAACCCCACCTGTCAGAGCTGTGGCTGTGTCCAGGAGAAATGACAAGGGTGACCCGGGACAGAGACACTGAGTGTGAGGACAGGGCCCAGAGGACCCTGGTGGCTGCTCAGATGCGGGATGTTAGGAGCGATCTGTTCCTGTCCAAGGCACAGAAGCCCCCAGTGTTCAGCGTTTCCCTGCTGACCCTTACACTGGGCATCCTGGGTGGTGTGAGTGTCACAGGACCAGAAGGGACCAAAAAACACACCAGAGTGGCTTTACCAAGACTAGTCGTGCAAAATGCTTTTCTCTCATCAATCTTAAATTTGGAAAGGGAAGAGGAGACAACAATTTTTACCATCTGCTTGACTGGAGACCAGAGAGGTAGAAATCGGGAGTCCGACTGGTCAAAAGCTCTTCCCACTTTGCTGGCTGCATCGGGCCCTGGACACCTGTCACTGCAGCCTCCAGAGAACAGAGCAACGTCGATGACCCTGCTCGCTGTGCCACACTGTGGGGCAAAGGCAAAACTGTTACCAAAAGTTTGGTCCTCGTCCCCAAGGCCAAATCAGTGAGAACGAAGAAGGAGGACAAGTGGTTTGAGGAAAAGGAAAGAGAAGTTTATTAATTTGCCAGCAAATGAGGGAGTCAGTGGACTAGCGTCTCAAAGACCACCATCCTGGGTTTAGCAGAAGTACAGGGCTTTTTAAAGCTGCGGGTTTCGGGAGTTGGGCTCAGGTCCATGTGACCAGTGTGGCTTCGGGGTATTGTTGTTTAACTATAACTGGCGGTTTTGGTCAACCTTATCTCCGACTATGATGATCTCATGACCCTTGTCTGGACAATTATGTTCAGCCATCTCCTGTGATTCAAGATACTTAGAAATCAAACAGCTAAAAATATTTTTCTGGCCTCCAGAAGGAATGCAGGTTTTAATTTCCAAAAAGTGTGGCAGTTTTAAAGAGACTGCTCGTAAAACATTTCATTGCCCTTTTTTAGACCTTTACCTCTGTTACAAACCTTCCCCTTTACCCTTGGAAGACTCGCTAAAAAAATCAACACACAATAAAGCAGATTAATAGGAGAAAAATTAGAACATTTATTTAATGTGTATACATGGGAACCCCCAGAAAAATGAGAATTCAGCTCCCCAAAAGGGTTCAGAAGTTTACATGCCTTTCTGGTTGAGGAAAAAAAATGCAAGTTTATCATCACGTCATGGGAACACCTCACCAATGCACTTCCCTTCTGACTGAGCAGCCCACTTCGGGGAATTGCAAACAAGATGACTCCAGCACATGACCGGTTACTGCAGGGCTGGTACGGGCCAAAGACTGGGAATGACCCAGACGTTCATCCATAGGGAGGCGGGTGAGAAGCGGCGATCCGTACCCTGGAACACGATGCAGCTGCGAAAAAGAATGAGCAGGATGGCGGCATGGGAAGACTCCCAAGGGGTGTTGCAACAGGAGGGGGACAGGCAGCAGGGCAGCTCATGCACATGCGTAGCGGGCTGCTTTTGCATTACAAAGAGGGAGATGGAAAAATAATTCTTAAACGGCCAATAAGCACATGCGGAGATGCTCAACATCACTGATCATTACAGAATGCAAATTAAAACTACAATGAGATGCCACTTCGCACCCATTAGGACAGATGTTATCAAAAAAACAACAACAGGAAATAAGTGTTGGTGAGTAGAAATTGGAACCCTTATGTAGTGTTGATGGGAATATAAAATGGTACAGCCACAATGGTGGTTTCTCAAAAAATTGAGCATAGAATTACCATGTGATCCAGCAATTCCACTCCTGGGCATATACCCAAAAGAATGGAGGGCAGGGATTTGAACAGATACTTGTATACCTGGCTCACATCAGCGGTCCTCATAATAGCCAAAATGTGGGAGCAAGCCGAGTGTCCACTGATCGTGAGTGGCTAAACAACATGTGGTCTATACGGACAATGGAATATTATTCATCCTTAAAAAGGAAGGAGGAGGCCAGGCGCGGTGGCTCATACCTGTAATCCTAGCACTCTGGGAGGCCGAGGCGGGCGGATTGCTCGAGGTCAGAAGTTCGAAACCAGCCTGAGCAAGAGTGAGACCCCGTCTCTACTATAAATAGAAAGAAATTAATTGGCCAACTAATATATATACAAAAAAATTAGCCGGGCAAGGTGGCGCATGCCTGTAGTCCCAGCTACTCGGGAGGCTGAGGCAGGAGGATCGCTTGAGCCCAGGAGTTTGAGGTTGCTGTGAGCTAGGCTGACGCCACGGCACTCACTCTAGCCTGGGCAACAAAAAGTGAGACTCTGTCTCAAAAAAAAAAATAGTTTAAATGGTAAATTGTATGCTATATGTATTTTACCACAATTCTCAATAATTCTTATTTGATTTGCAGGAAGAAGCTGTAGGAAGCTTTGAGGTCGCTAATGGTACAGCTCACCACTGGGGCTGGCACGGGGCTAGGACCTCGGTGGAAAGGGACAAAGACTTTTCATGTCTGTACCCATATACAGATACCCACGGAAATGAATTTCTGAGCCATGTAAATGTAATACCTATTCAAAAGATTAAAAAGGCAAAGTTTCCATATCTGAAGGATGGGGGTGGGTGGGGCCACTGCTGAGGACAACAGACGACAAATCTCAGGAAGCCTTACATGTCAGTCGGGAGCTCGGAGCGGGTCCCGTGGACTTGGGGACTCTGGAAAGGTGAGCAGGGAGGGCCATGGCATGGGGGCCTGAGAAAGATCAGCTCGGCCACAGGGACAAGAGTGGACTGGCTGCTGGTGGCCCCTCTGGGGACAGGGAGACCTGGGGAACCACTGCATAAATTCAAGGAAGGGTGGACGGTGGTCTGAACTTAGGTGGTGGCCACAGGGTGGGGAGGAAGGGACACAGTAAAGAGAGACTTAGGACACAGAAGGGACAGGGATGAGCGACCACTGGATATGAAGAGCAAGAAAAACGAGAGCATGGAGAACGTCTACTGAGCATCCATCCAGTTGAGGTGACGAGTGCCCAGGGGTCCCCTTATCTAAGAGGAGGAGACAGCCGAGCTCACTCCAGCTAGCTGAAGGACGAAAGGAATTGATTAAAGGGCCCTGTTGGAAAATCACCGAGCTCCGGGGGCACCAAAGCAGCCCAAGCCACAGGCACAGGGCAGCTCTGGTCAAGACCTTCTGGCCCCACTGCTGGGCGCAGGAACCACAATGCACGCTGCACTGCTGAGGCTGGCCCGGGGGTCCAGAAGCTTCTGCACCACCACCTTACGATCCTGAGGCTTGTGCGGGAGCACCTGATGGGGAAAGCTTGAGTCACGTGGCAGTGTCATCCCTGGAAGGAGTGCCAGGAAAATGGTTTCTGCCTTGGAAAGGCAGGACAGTCCCCAAATACAGCAAAGGCATTTAAAGTACGCTCGTTAGGCAGCCAGAACACAGAAGGGGAGTGACATGGCTGGGAAAGTTTAGGAACTGTGAGAGGAAAGGGTCCGAGAGGGTCCCTGGGGAATAGCCTTATTTAAAAGCTGGGGGCAGCAGCTTAAAAAGCAGAAGAAGTGGCATGGTGGGCGAGTTCTTCGAAATTCACAGGGTAGGAGGTGTTGGGAAAATATAATTAAAAACAAAGTCTCCTCTCAACACAGAAAACACATAGATAGAAGGAAAAGGAAACAGTTTTATTATTGGATAAGCATTAAACCAGAATCCCAGGCAACCTGTTGCAAGATCACAAAGAGAAAGAAATCCCACTCTTGCATCTAGCCAAAGGTACGCAGCCTGTTACACTCGTGTTTTCTAGGTTAACAGTAACTAGTCCGTGGGGAAGAGGACTTGACAGTTCTGTTCGTCACACACAGTTCATCCTACATTCGCCTGGTAACTGGGTTGACGATCTGTGTTAGTTAATTGGCTTTATCTGCAGGAAAAGTAACCTCACATCTTTATGACAGGTGGTAATTTTGCAACTTGGAGAGAGGGGCCATGGAAGTCAGGACCCGACCTTCTCATGGAAATGGGGGCGCTGAGTGCCTTTCAAAGAGATGGTTCCCAGGCACCGATTGCGAGAAGGTGTTTGGGGTCAGAATCAGGCCTGAGGGTGTGGTCAGAGTTAAGGATCAGCCTGTTTGGGGGATCAGTTTAGAAGTTCCTGCCTGGAGAAGAGAAGCCGATCTTTACCTGCGAGACACACCCCGCTGCTCACTCTCTCTCTCTCTCTCTAATGCTTTTCTCTCCACCTCTATTCACTAGCTGATATTTTTTTGCATCCATTTTTCGTTTCTCTCTCTCACTCTTGAGAAAGGCAGTTCTGGATTGCAAAGCAGGTAAGAGGCTTATTTGGGTTTCAAAAATACAAAAGGCAGAGAGAGAATTTTCAATTGCAGTTTTTCTAAAGAAAAATGCTCTGAAAGCTCTTTTGGGCCATGGAAAAATACGTTTTAAAAATTTGTATTTACCTTCTCAGAGATTATTCCAAAGAAGTGATAAATGGTGTCAAATGCCACAAAACAAGCCTCGGGAGTGCCTGAAAGGTCTAGCAATAAAGGTGGACGCTGGTGATCTTGGTGAAAGCCATTTCAGAGAAAGGGGAAGATGGAAAGTGGATGTGGAATGATTGTGAGGTGACTAAGTGGAAACAAAGAAATGTATCTGGGCCCGGCACGGTGGCTCACGCCTGTAATCCTAGCACTCTGGGAGGCCGAGGCGGGCGGATTGCTCGAGGACAGGGGTTCGAAACCAGCCTGAGCAAGAGCGAGACCCTGCCTCTACTAAAAATAGAAAGAAATTAATTGACCAACTAAAAATATACATACAAAAAATTAGCTGGGCATGGTGGCGCATGCCTGTAGTCCCAGCTACTCGGGAGGCTGAGGCAGGACGATCGCTTGAGCCCAGGAGATTGAGGTTGCTGTGAGCTAGGCTGACACCACGGCACTCACTCTAGCCTGGGCAACAAAGTGAGACTCTGTCTCTAAAAAAATTAAAAATTAATTAATTAATTAATTTAAAAAAAGAAATGTATTTGGATAGTTGAAAGTTGAAGATGCTTGACTGAGAAGGGAAGAGGCAGTGGAAGGAAAGGAAATCCAAGGAAGGAAATTTTTTTTCCCATAAGTGGCCTCAGAGGATGTGTAGGATGAAGGGACGGAGCCAATGGAGAGGGGGACATTGAAGGCTGTCGGGGCACAGGCTGCCCCACACTCTCTGTTACCATGAGAAGCGTCGTCTCTTGGGGCAGATGGTGGCTTGGGGATTGATGACTTCAGGATCTCGAACGTTCAAGTGTGCAGAACAAAGACGAGTCGGGCTTTAGGGTTGAGGCTGTGGCCAGTGAGGAGCAGGCTCTGGTTGTGAGAAGGCGTTTGCAGTCAGAACCAGGGCTGAGCGTGTGGTCGGAGTTAAGGATCAGCCTGTTTCTGGGATCAGTTTGGAGGTCCCCATCCAGAGAAGAGAGGCCGATCTTTAGTTATGACAGACCCCACTGCTCACTCTGTCTCTCTCTACTGCTTTTCTCTCCAACTCCATTCTCTCACTAATATATATATTTTTTTTTTGAGACAGAGTCTCGCTTTGTTGTCCAGGCTAGAGTGAGTGCCGTGGCATCAGCCTAGCTCACAGCAACCTCAAACTCCTGGGCTCAAGCAATCCTCCTGCCTCAGC